AAAAACTTGATAGAATTTTTCCAGGGTCCTTGGATGTCCATTACAATCGGAAATGCATTTTTTAATGACAAACAACCTATTCTCTTCTAAGTTTAAACTCCTTATAACTTCATTAAATAATTCTGCTGATTCTGAAATCTCCAGTCTTCTTAATGGTATCCATTCGATTTGTCTACCTGAGTCAGTCATATTACTTTGCACATAAACCGCATCAAGTGTAGTCAGGATAAAATTAAATTTGATCAACTCTTCTTTATCTTTTGCAAACTCTTGGTAGGGATTATAGAGATGATTTAAGAATTTATTAACTTTAGCTTGTTTTTGATTTGTGTCAGTGCCTGACAAAATTTTCATAATCTCATCAATGCATAGAAGTACTCGTTTCTTTGAATGATATAAGATGCTTTGAACAACAGTACGAATGTTCAATGATTCAAAATTTGTTTTAAATTTCTCACAAAAATTCTGCCAGCTTAGTTTTCCATCATCAAAAAAATAACTCCATAAGATACGCATTACTAGTCCTCTTTCAATATTATCATCTACAAATTCATCAAAATTGTACGCTGAATGTCCATTGTATGTTATGCAAACTGCAACCGAATTATGAAGCATATTTATGACATTATTAACTGCCTCATTGTAACAACAGTCCTCTTCATCTTCTATAATAAAAGGGTGTTGATGATTCTTGCTTCTCAAATAATTATCAAAATCTTCATTTTTCAAGGCTGCCAATTCATCAAGCAAGAAAGATTTTCCTCCTCCTGGTGTGGCTTGAATTGTGAGAGCATGGTGATAAGTTTTACCACCAACACTTTTCCCTTTATCCGAGGCTTTCTTAATTCTAAAATAACGCTCAACAATGTAATCATATATTCCATGTAGCGTTTCATCTCTACCTTTTCTTTGAAAGTTAAATTCATTTTCACATAGTTGATGTGGCTTTGTGAAATCATCTTTGACACCTTCTTGTCCTTCTAGAAACTCTGCTATGGATTCAGGAGTGGTAGGCACTTTTGGATTTATGTAAATACAAAGAAATGTTGGTTCCAAACAGTAATATTTAAAACTAGAAGGAATGATATTTAACGTATATGATTCTATTTTCCACAGAATTTAAGATATATTACCAACTATTTGTTTCACTTTTTTATCAGTAAATTCCTTGTTTGAATCTTCTGCTTTTCTTTTGCCTGATTGAATAAAAAAAATATGGGAAGCAAATGTGTTTTTTGGCGGTTTGACGATAAGAAACAGGAAAGAAAAACACAAGAATAAGTAAGTATTTGGTATTATTGGTGAATATGGCATGGTCTGAATTTACCTGCTGCAATAAGTAAAGAGAAAAAAAAAGAAACAAAGCACAAGTTACTCAAAGTTGTAAGCAGTGTACAAAACAAATAAATAAAACGAACAAAAAAGTAATTTTTTTTTTCTTATGCAATTTGTTCATTACCTTTTTCTTTACCATATTCTAACAACACACCCTGCAGTTTCTCCACCTGGTTCTTCCAATAATCTTTATCCTTCACCAGTCTCGCTTCCTTCTCTTCCAACCTTTTTACCATCTCTTCCCACCTTCCCTTCTGTTTTTCATCTTCTCCCCATTCTTTGTCATCCAACTTTCTCCTCAACTTCTCCAACCACTTCCCATTGTCTTCTCCTTCTTCAAACTTCTTTAACTTCTCCACTGCCTTCTTGTACTCTTCTTCTACCATTCCTTTATCTTTCCTAATCTCTTTGATTGTTGCCATTTTTTTTTTTATAATTAAAAAAATTTAAAAATGATTTAGATTGTAATTGTTTACAATAAATAATTTGGACCAATGATAAATTAGTGGGCACATGACTTGCAATTAAAAAAATTTTTTATGGACAAATGAATTAAACCATATCCACCGATTTTTGCAACATTTTAGGGCACATTTATAAAAATTTCTAAGGGGTTACTATATAGAATTAGAAGC